TTTTTTTTTTGGGTCCGCTTTCGGCCTGAACGGCCAAACGCATCCCCAAGGGGTCCCATATTTTTTTTTTTTTTTTTGGGTCCGCTTTCGGCCTGAACGGCCAAACGCATCCCCAAGGGGTCCCATACGTTCGGGCGTTCGGCCCGTCCCGAACGCCAGTTACCTTGTATATATATATATATATATCGTGCATGAACGGTGCGCGACGTCATCCTCGACCCATAATGTGTGCTGTGTTGGGGACTCTTGTTTCTTGTTTTGTGTTTCCCGATGTCACGTCGCTCATTCTGTGGCCGTGTCATGAATCCTCATGATGACCGAAAAAAAAAGGTTTCGCTCCGTGACCGTATGCGCCGTCTGCCACCATGCATAACAGACGACCTCGACCAATCACATTTAGAAGGCAATGAAGGCAAATATGACCTCGACGACATAGATAAACATATTGAGACGGTGACAATCGACCTGAACAACGCACGTGCTGTGTTGTCGACATCGTATTCCCGGGTGCAAACAATTGTGTCGTCCTTGCGGGAAAAAAAAAAGGAATTGGATAATCGGGAGGCTCTTTGCACAATCCGTGAGCAATGTCTGCTGCGCGAGGAGGGCAAGCCTCGTGTCGAGTCCCCTACACCTTCGACTCCGTTCCTTGTTTCGGGGCGCGACGTTCGTGACGGCACTGAAGTCGAACTCGTTTTCTCTTTGCCACAAGCTGCGGCCTCCCTATCAGGAAGCACGACCCAGACGCCGGACTAAGTCAGTGCATCCCGGGACAACTCTGGGTCGTATGTTTCCAAGTCGTGTCGGGGTTCGGGACCTGACGAGGATCATAACTCTGTTGGCTGTGAAGGACGAAATTCTCAAAAGTTGAAGAAGCAAACACAGTTCGGTCGTTGTCCCGGACCCTCGAACTTGGACTCGTGGATCTAGTTGAAAGCGTAGTGGTCGGAAATACATAAAACAATTTAAAAAAAATAAAATTATTTGTTTTCGATTCGTCCTTCCTTTCAACTACTGGTTTTTTTTTTTTCTCAATCCCCTGTGGTCCTACGGCCGACTGTTTTGTTTTTTCGGTTTGTGTAAGTTATTACTATCTGTATTGTGAAAGGGTCACGTTAGCTGTACCATTTGTGCTTGCCATCCCGCTTACGTTTAGTTCTACCATTTGTCCGCCATACTCTGTATACAATGGATAAGATTTTTTCCGATATTTCTTTTCCATGTTCCGCGGACCGACGCTAACTTCCACCGCATCTGTTGCAGATACTCATGACGCGACACTATAATGGAGCAGGCACAACCGCAAGCACCCAACAACGAAGATGATGGGGGCATTGTGTACGGCCATCGACCAAGACGTAGAGTTGTGCGAGGTCGAGGGGGCCTTTGGCTTGGGCCAGCAGTCATCGCGGCACGTCGCCCACGACCTCCTCCCCCGCATATGAACGGGGATCAAATACGAGCAACATGGCCGCATCCTGCGTTTTTGGTTGAAACCGCAGTACAGATCGTCGGTGAGGAGGCCCGCAATGACCAGTTTTTGCATATCCTCGTGGGAAACGATCGACTGGACGCGGCGGCTAACAGATTCGTAGGGTACAGGGAGTTCGCGAACCTCTGCGGTTATACTCGCCGTCAGAGACTGCCAACGGAAGTCGAGTAGGCGATGCACATGAGGTGGCCTAACCCGCAAAACGATGGTTACGTCGGCTTCATTCCTGATCCGTGCGCTCCAGCCGATAACAATGACCCTCGCCATGGGTAGATGCTAGAGAGAGAGAGAGAGAGAGAGAGAGAGAGAGAGAGAGAGAGAGAGAGAGAGAGAGAGAGAGAGAGAGAGAGAGACGTTGCTAGAGAGAGAGAGAGAGGCGTTGCTAGAGAGAGAGAGAGAGGTGTTGCTCCATTTTGACTAAGGTTAGGATAACGGACTTGATATGTGCTGAACAACATGACTGCAAATCGTGGATCCTATCGTGCATGATAGTCATCACGCAGGAGATGATCCACGAAGAGCAGTCATGTTGTTCAGCACATATGAAGTCCGTTATCCTAACCTTAGTCAAAATGGAGCGTGCGTGCTAATCCCGCCCGCCTTGTCTTGCATCAGAAACTTGAGACTAGAGGAGGAGTTTGAAGAGAGAGAGAGAGAGAGAGAGAGAGAGAGAGAGAGAGAGAGAGAGAGAGAGAGAGA